TACTTAAATTTATTGACACTTTCAAATTTTGGTTAAGACTGGACAGCAGAAATGGGCACTTTTCATGTGGAAATTACTCTGGGTCAAATGTTAAAGATAGAATTCTAGTGAATACACCGGAATTTTTATGCATGTACATTTCCTGACTTATTTTAAGTTATGGAGGATTTAGTTTCCTACAGTTTAACCTAAAAGATGTTGGGTTAGAATTCACCATATGTCCTGTCCAAATGTCCCACCAACATAATTTATAAGCATGGCAATGATATTAAATATAAATAGTAGGAACTAACAGTTTTCACCAGATGGACACATTCATCTCCCCAGTTTCAGGGTAACCAGTGTGTCTATATGCAGTGCTGTTGTTGGAAGCAGACCAGATCTAAGGTGTGTTTTTAAATAAACTGAAACGAGATTGTTCTCAAAATGAGACATAAGTTGGACCTTTGTTACAAATGTTCAAATCAGGGAGTGAGCAATGTTAGTACTGAAAGAACATGGGCAAGTATCAAGTCTGGTACCATGAGAACTTTCACAAATGGAATATCCTGAAGGGTTTGGGCACTTCATCTGTTGGGTGTTATACTTCACTAACAGATTTTTTTATTCCTTTTAAGCTTTTGATATTTTTATGTATTCTATTTAATGTTTCAAGTCAAGGTGTAGTGTTCATATTTTTGTTGAATGCTTAAAAGCAAGCTTTTCAAACATGTTCTCCATTAAATATAATTCTCTTTATTTTTTGTTAGAAATACAGTCTGTGTTAAACAATTTAAAATAACATCTAATAAATTATCAAAATACATACCTGACATTATTTGCTTCACTGTTGAGAACACCATCTGCATATTTTGTAAACATTATTCCTCAAGTAATTAAAATATTAGAATTATAAAAAATTTAGCATGAGTGTGTTGTGTAAGGGTGATGCTCTCTAGACGTGCAGACAGTGGAACCTCAGTATACCTTGCCTCGTTATACCGCGGACTCGGATATACCACAGCTGTGATCATGTCCCCAAATACAATTACATATGTTTATGTTAGATAAATGTCAATTTCACATATAACACACGTACTGAAACTGTTCTCCAAAACCCGCATTATATCGAGGTTCCACTGTAATGAATTGGTGGCGTCAATGGTTGGACTTCTTGACATGGTGATTAGGTAAAGGGACAGTCATACATTTTTGAAATACTTGGTTCAGATCTCTGCCAGTGTCTGCTGTCTTAGATGTTTGTTTTTTATAATTGATAAGTGACCTGTTTGTTCCTTTTCTATTTCTCTGTTGACATTGTGCCATTCTGTAATCAGACAAGACATTCTATAGCAATGCACTGTTAACTGTCAAAGACTGCTTGTGTTAGACTTGTCAAAACAAAGTTGTCCTGTGCTTATGCAGCATGCAGTGAAGATGCATATTGAATTGGGGGTAAAGGCTCCTCAGCACTAGTCAGTCTAGGTATAGTGGCAAGGTTGAAAATCTTGTTGCTCCTATAAATTGAACTCCTTTTTTCGTATGTAGCCAGTCACTTTACTGATGAGCCATTTTGGCTTATTAACCTGACTTCAGTGCATACTGTATGATTTTGAGATTGGTGGTTGAAATTCTTATTTCTGGTAGACTTACAAGGTGGAAACAGAAAATACTGTTAATAAAAAAGCCTTTGTCATTTTTTATAAATTTTCTCGGCAAAGCATCAGTTTGTAAGACATGACAGCATCCCAGTAACATGTGAAGTGGATTTTGTACAAAATATTGGTGAGCTGTGATGTGGATTTGTCTTCAGACAGGTGGGGGAGATAAACATTTGCTATGAGGAACATTAATGCATTCATGATGGGAAAGAAGTGTCCTGCATCTGTGGTACCTGCAGTAGTGAGCATAGCAAATGGCTTTATTGTGTTGTGCAACCTTCTTGTTAATTTATTTCTATTTTAGTAGCAGGAAAATGACACCTAGAAATTATCGTCATATGTTAATCGGAACAAAGGGAAATGAAGTTTTTGTAGAAGAGTGTTTCAGTCTGTATGATGCTTTTATGCACATTGCACATGAGATGATTGTTAAAAATTAATGCAGTTTGCCAGCTTACATGTTATTTGGTTGTGTTGTATGTTGCTGTCTCTGTTCCATTGTGGCTAGTTTCTGTAGTTGGGCACCAAGCTAAATGCATAAAGCAAGTAGATTCTTATTTGGCTATGGTAGTGCAGTGGACACAAAATAGCTCAGAGCTTGGTGAATTGAGTGATTAAATATGGTTTATGTTACGTAAGAAAAGTGCAAGTTACAGAACATTAATTTTAATTATGGCACATTTCCATTTTCTGTTTTATAAGAAAAGTGCGAGTTACAGAACATTAATTTTGATTATGGCACATTTCCATTTTCTGTTTTATTCTGTATACACTCTGCAGTTAACATAGCATTGTTAATTACACTGAAACTAAAAACTAAATTCATCTCTACCTCTTGCAGATCACTCTCACCAAAATTATTGTATTGTGTTAATGATTAATGTTTTCTTACAGGTGGAATTTCCTATTCCAGAACAGTTTAAGACTACTGTTAGCCCCAAAGGGTTGGTAACAGTATCAGTTGAAAACAAGGGGTAAGGCGAGGATGCGATGAACGTCAGCCAGTTGACTGTCCTCGCCACGCAGATGTCATTTTCACTTCCAGTATGCTACATGACTTCAGGACACCTACATGGCAAATTCTTAGTATCTTGTCCTTTTATTAATTTTGTACAGTTTCTTAAAACTGAAATTGAAATGATTTTGTTCCAATTTTTGGACAGTTATTGATTTATGATGCTGTCAAGGAAATCATCTCCAGTGGTCTGTTACCGCTTCATAAGATCAGCACAGGCTTGCACTCTGTGCTCCTTGTGATCTTGCATTAGAATTCATGGAACCCACCTGGCA